GCTTGTTCGAGGTAAGTAACATCTATAATCTTTGAGCTGAGGGTATGAACCCTAATTATATGTGTTATATGAATTATTTGGAGGTGACACACATGCTAGGTGACGGGAGTGTGGGCGTGCACCGTAGAAATTAAGACTTAGTTGATTCCGTAGAGCTGTTTAGTCAATTAACTTGTATTCTTCTATGTATTTTTATGTGTTAAAGAAACTGAGCTATGACTCATGTTAGAAATCATGCTTAAGCAAATGTTGGTATTATTGGGACCCACTAAGGTCATTTCTAATGTTGAATTATATGTTTAAACCGTAATTTCATACTTAGTCATATTCATTCATTGCATATCATATCTTAGTCTCTGCTGTTATTTATTGACACATCATATCATCATTTTGGGCTAGTTTCATGACATTGTGAGCCTGAGAGACTGGAGAGATTGATGACTAAGTGAGGCCGAGGGCCTGATTGTGAGGATAATTAAGGGATCGGGTTGCACGCCGCAGCAGGTCAGATTAGCTTATTATAACACGTGAGTTGTCCGTGCGGATCCAGATATTGATACTATAGCACGTTAGTTGTCCGTGCGGATCCAGATATTAATACTATAGCACGTGAGTTATCCGTGAAGCACGTGATTTGTCCATGCGGATCTAGATATTGATATTATAACACGTGAGTTGTTTGTGCATATTATAGCGCTTGGACTGAAGGAGCCCTTCCGGAGTCTGTACACATCCCCAGTGAGCGCAGGTACCTACTGAGTGCGAGTGGCGAGTGCTGAGCGATTGGGAGGATTGAGAGACTGTGAGGATTGAGTGAATTGATACGCTGAGTATGCATATGGTTTTATTATTGAGTTGCATCGCATTGACATGCACGCTTGACATACATGCATAGACATGTAGTTTTCCTCATGTTGTACGATATTGCGTCATTCATGACTTTACATACTCATTGACATATAGGCATAGATATGTATTTTCCTCGTGCCATTTGAAAATGAAACATCCTATCTGTTGCTGAAAAGGTTTTGGAAAAAATCACAGTTTTATAAAACGTACTCATATTTTGGTGATTTCGGTAAAAGATTTGGGTTTTCACTGATATACTTGAAAAGCAGGCCTATTTTTCTGGAACTGTGAACGAGTTGATCATTTTATCTCTAAGCTACTTCTTTTATTACTTATATTATGTTGTTATGAACTGTTGTTGGCTATTGGTGTTGGACCCTGACCTTTGTTCCTGCTCGTCACTACTTTTAACCTAAGGTTAGGTTTGTTACTTATTGAGCACATGTGGTCGGTTATACTCATACTATATTTTTGCACCTTGCTTGCAGATATTGGATGTTGATGTTGCTATGATCGACAGGAGATGGATTTAAAGATGTACCTGTGTTCCGGTCATAACTGCCTCTTGTTCATGGTAGCCTTAGATTTATAAAAATCTGTTTATGTACATTTCGAACAGATGATGTATTTATTTCATACCAGCTTGTAAATTCTAATCTTAGAAGCTAATGATTTGTACTACCACTCCTTGGGGAGTGTATTAGAGTCAATTAAATATTATTGGAATTGGATAGTTATTAGTTGGCTTACCTAGCTGATTGGGTTAGGTGACATCACGACTAGTTAAATTTTGGGTCGTGACACTTGCTCCCCGCACTCATAACAATTTTTTTTCCTTACTCTAGACTTTGATCTGGCGGTTGACTTTGTTCTGTTAAAGTTATTTTGTTGTGTTCTTCCTCTACTCACAAGACTCCCACCCTCAATTTTGCTGTCCAAAAAGTTCTTTTTCAACTCTTTAGATTTTAGTTCATTACTAACATCTTCCAGTGAAATACTATCATTTCCATATAACAGCATAGCAAAAGTATCATAAGACGGTGGAAAAGAACATAATACTATCAAGGCGTGATCCTCGCTCTCAATTTTGATATTCATGTTCTTCAGGTCCATTACTTGAATTAAACTTATCAATGTGAGTTTTAACAGGTGTACCTTCATTTATACGAAGATTGTATAATTTTTTTTTCACGTAGAGGCGGTTTGTCAGCGATTTCTTAGAATACAGATCTTCCAGCTAATTCTTCCATGCCATTGATGCAGAAGTTTCTTCAGCAATTTCCCGAAAAACGCTATCTGTAACGCTCATGAAGATCACACTCAAAGCCCTCTCATTCGGGTCCGTCTTTTCTGTCTCTTTCATCTTTTCAGGAAAATCCTTATAAATTGCCTTCCATAACTCTTGTAACACGAGAGACGATTTCATCCTAATCTTCCATAGATTGAAACTAGAACCCTCGTCAAATTTCTCTACTTCGTACTTTGTTGAAGATGATGAAGACATCTTAACTCTAGATTATATGTAGAAACCCGAACCTTGCTCTAATACCAATTGTTGTGAAAGATCGTAAGTTAACTAGCACACAATCACACACAAAGCAAATAGAGAAGAAAAATCAATACAAGGATTTAACGAGGTTCGGCTAAGTCTAATCCTCGGAGCAGAGAGAGTTTTTCACTATGAATGAGAAGAAAAGCACAATGCAATCTTTAGAATCCCACCTACAACCCCTATATATAGATCCCAAATAGTTCAAACCTATAAGAGAAAGATTTTTCAATTTGACAATTACATAATTCAAGCCACAAATAATGGTTCCACTTGCATACATTAGTATTGCCTATTAACCATCCTGGTTTTGATAGTAATTAAAAGATCAACAACAAGAATATTTAAGGGGAGAAACAAGGAGTATTAACAGGGAATAAGAGAAAGCTCGAACTACAACTGCTATAAACTTTTTCTTTGAGTTCTCATTTAAACGAACGGTCACATTTGAATGCAAGTACCAATTTAAACTAGTAATGTTTTTATATTTCCACATCAACCAACTTATTATTAATTTTGTTTTTAAACTGGCGTAGCACTATGCGAAAAACTAAATATACTCCGTTAAAGAGTACATCCGGGCTTGGCTCGAGCTTGATTATACTTTATACTTTATTAAAGGGGAATCTTACAGAAATGTCCCAAAAAAATTTCAACTTAACACCTCTAACCATTAATTATAAACTTATCAAAACTAGCCAAACACATATAAAAATTGAAAACCTAAAGAAAAAAGATTTTCTCTATCCAAAATCACACACAAAGATTTCCTTCCATATTTTTAAGCGTGATTACCAACATTGGATGCAAGATGGAAATGAATTTTATTGATGAAGTAGCAAATAAGGTGATGAAACAAACAAATATATATACAAGATTCCAAAAATCTAAGCAAAAAAAGACTTTTTTCAGTGAGTATGATTGAGATTCATTGAAAAGATATAGATGAGTCATACACAAAATTTAAGGAAGATTGGAGGTGATTTGGACTGAATTGATATAAAAATTCGTAGTTAAAATCGAGTTCAAAAAATTCTTCTGCGACACATGTATCAAAACATGTATCACGCATGTATCTCACACGCATGTGATACACATTTGATACAAATATGATACATATCTAATACACAGTGTGATACACATATTATTGTTTTATGTTCATCTTCTATTTCGAATTTTCAATTCAAACCAACTCAAAACTCCACCAAATCATATCAAACTGAGATTCAAGCTCCTTAAGATGTACCCAATCTATTATAATAACACCCACTCAAAAGAAAGCAAAATTTTAATTTTTTTGTCTACAAATAGCTAATTGGCTAATATTAGTAATATTTTGTGAATTGACCAATTTTTGTAATAAAATACTTATAAATGAACATAACTGGTATTTTTATTTAATAAAGCTCGGTTGGGCTCGGCTCAATATTATAAGAATTAACCCAAATAGCCGCTCACACTAACACTTAAACTAAAAATAGCCGGTAAATATATAATATATGCATAATTTATGTATTGTATATGTATAATTAATATATATTCTATGTATATTGTTAGAAAAAGTAAACAATTTATATCGCCGGCTATATGTGTAAAAATCCCATATTATAACATGCTCGGTATTATAGTAAGTTCGGTTGGATTGGCTTGGCGTCTAGGCCTAACTGTAACATAGTAAAATGACAGCGGATAAATCTGATAATAATCTTACTTTTCCGCAATGCTAAAGTACAAACTAAACTAACCACCTATAACATGTAAAATTACATTGACATATAGTTCTTAAATCTTTATCCTTCTAATTCAATTTAGTTATGTATATTATGTATCAAGTATAGTTTTTGTACACAGTTCTTAAAAATATGTTCTATTTTACTATATTACTAAAATATGGAGTAAAATTAAGTATAGTGATTATTTGTTGCGGCCAAACGGACATGTAAGTATACGCAATCGTCAAGTAATAAAGTAATGAGATAGAATGTCAAATCCACAGGGATTTATGATTTAACCATTAACTAGATTAAACTATCCTAATTATCTAAACAAAAAGTAAACTTAAAAGTGTTTGACTCTAATTAACTACAATAAAAAAAAATAAGAGGAAGAGGAGATTCTTATGTTATCAATGTGATAAAAATAATCTATGGTTATGAGCTATCTAACAATATATTCTTTAATTGATTCAACTTCTTAATCTATCTAATTTACTAGTTGACCGAATAGTTTAGATTCGTAGATAGTATTCGATTGGTTATCATGATTGATTAAAAAAATTAATATCATAGATCTAGAAATCAAAATCAGTATTCAAACAACGATAGTTATGAAAGAACCAAATCTCTAGAATACGGAAAAAAAGATGAACTTGAAGCTCCTCGGCAGTTCCTTGCTTTCTGTTCGTTTTCTTATAAGAATTTTAATTTGCTAAAAAAGAAGTTTTTAAACCGTTATCTAAAAGGTCCATTAACTGCAAAAGAAATAAAATAAATTATTTATTAAAAAAATGATATAAAAAAAGACACAGTCGGCAAAAATTTCACCTAATAGTGTTACATACATACTAGGGATATTATATATCTTAAGTCTTAAGTCTGTTTTTGAACAAACAAATTTCCCAAATAGCTAGTCTTGATCAGCTAAGACGGGTCGAAATGATTATAATATGCAAAAAAAAAGCTAAATATGGCTAGAAATTAGGCGGTGTTTTAGCCACATGGCTGGCTAATGGCTATGGAACCCAAGAATTTGTCACATTTCTCCATTTTTCCTCTTTTCTTCTTCCACCATTCTGGGTTTCTGCCATCTCAACAGTTGAATCAAGAACATGTGATTTACAGGTACCTTTTTTTAAATATATACATGCAAATGTACATACTTTTTGTCTGTTTTGTGTTCACCATTACTCAGAATAATTGAATCAAGAACATGAATTTCTCTTATTATATGCCAATTAAAGGTGGTACCCTATTTTGTGTTTTTGTATCTGCATGCAATTTGCAAATTAATGGTGTATACTTTATGTTTGTTGAGGTTTGCTTTTATTCTTTTTGTCTTATGTAATGATATGGTATATATGGTTGGATGTAAAAAAGAACTAATCTTTCTATTACCTTTTAGAAAGAAAAAAGAAACTTTTCCCATTCTTGTGCACCTGTAATTAAGTCCATTAAACAAAAGTTCCCTTTAATTGCGGTGTTAATCTCCAATTTGTGTGTAAAAAACCGACATTTAGCCTTTTTCCTTATTGAGGTTACAGAAATTTGGTGGTTGGAAGTAAGAGTGAGGATAAAAATGATGATAGTTTGAATTTTAAGAAAGCATGAGTTGAAGTAATCATTTGAACAACTGTTTATTACTATTCTGTTTTACCCTTTTGTTTTTCTGTTTGAAACATTGGGAAAATTTGACCCTCCCAACATTTTCTTCTTTCTTTCTAATGAGATTAAGGCGTAGTCAATGCATTCTTTCTTGTGCCTCCTCCCACCACAGAGTAAGCTTTTTTATTCCTCATTCGTCTAGTTTCATCTCTTGGATTGGTATCCGTTTACTTTGCTGAAATTTTGGTTATTTAGCTTGGTTGAAGGCAAGTATAGTTGAACGAAGAGGGTCAAATTGAGCGAAATGGATGTTGATGATTCGTATTAGTGGATGACAAGTTTGGGATTGAGGTGCTGTAGTTTCTATTAGTGGATGCAGGCATGGTTAATGGACTGAACAATAGGTTTTATCAGCTCTAAACCGCCATTTTTGAACAATGTGGGTTATTTTTGTTATTCATAGGCAAGATACCTTAAGGGGAGCCTTGGAACAACGGTAAAGTTGTCTCCGTGTGACTTATAGGTCACGGGTTTGAGTTGTGTAAGCAGCCACTAATGCTTGCATTAGGATAGGCTGCGTGAATAAGGGATGCTTTGTGCACCAAGCTGTCCTTTTATAGACAAGTTATTGGCCCAATATTTTTTGAGTTTCGAACCGTGCCCCACTAGTCCTCGGGGATTTCTCAGTTATCAAAAATAATTATTCGAACTTGAACTACTTCGACTGTACGACAACATAGGTCATTCTATTAGATTTAATAAGATGTAGATCCTAAGCTACATGATGGATGATTAATTTATCATCATGAATTGCACGAGGTGACTAGAAAAACATTAACTTGCAATTTTCTTGAAGTCGTTTGAATTTCTCTGCTGCACTCTGCGACGAGCTGTATGCAACTTGATACAATTGTTCTTCTTTTGAGTGCATTCTATGCTGGGAGGGAGTAGCTTTCGTCTTGCTGGAATTTACCTGTCTAATGTGGGGACCTAATCTATTTTACTAATTGCCTTTGATATTAAGTCAAATCCTTTGCATGAACTCTACCAAAGGAGTTGATTTAGAGCAAAGAAACAGTATATCAAATGCTGAGTCGTAATCTCATGTCAATTCGACTAACTTTTGGAAATAAAATCAATTTGCAGTTGCTTTGGCTTGTCTCTATGTCTTCGTGCCATTTTGTGATCAGTTTACGTAATTATCTTTAACCAAACCCTTTTCGCGCGCATCAACTGGAATTAATTTTGAATCTTGATAGTCTCAGACTCGTGAAGTGATGCCTATGACCCTCTTTAGATTACTTTTATCTTTCTTCGTGTTGATATCTTTTTTCTCTTTTTGATCTTTTTATTTCGCATTGAATGCCTCAGCTAGACCAGTTAAATAATGTTGCGATACTAGCCACATTGCTGACATATCCACTTGTGACAAGGGATGGTTTGCGAGTCCTTAGTTAAGGGCTCGTGCTCTTTAGGTTTTGGGGGGGGGGGGGGGGGG